TGTTAACACTGATCAACACCGATCAAAACCCAAAAGAAAGACGTGGCAGCAGATGAACAATACCTGAAAGTAATTTCAGACCTGACACAGGACCTTAGACGTCACGATCACTGGATTAAAAGCAAAAAGTGTTTTCTGGTTAGCGCTACTTTCTCTAAGATGACGCTGTATGAGCCTTTCATTATTATAATGCTTTTCTACTGTAGCCGAGCACTCAGAATGCTTTATGCAAGCCACATTCATCACTCTTTCATACAGCACTTTATTCTACGCCTTTAAGTGCTTTCTAACTTACACCCACATTCACACTCTGATGGATGGATTTGGAGGAATTTCGGGTTCAGCATCATGACAGAATAATTCAAAAAAAGACTGAACAAGAGTAGCTTGTTCAAAGGGCTGTTTAAGAAAAACTTTGCAGCAATCTTTAGGTTTTAAAGTTGCATCTGAACAATGTCCTTTGGACAGATGAGGCCACAATGGAAGCATTTGGCCATAATCCAATACCACATTTGCAGAAAACCAAGCACAGCATCTCAGCAGAAACACCTCATACCAGTTGTGAAGCACAGTGGTAGAGGGATGATGATTTGCAGATGCATTGACCATGAAATCCTTTGCATAACAAAGCATTCTAGAGTCAAAGTGAGTGAGGCCATCTGTCTGACAGCCTAAAATGCTGTGCATAAAACTGAATGCCCACAAACCTCAATGACCGAAAACATACTGCAAGTGATTCCTGCTAGAGGAGAAACAGCTACTGAATCATTGGGACACCATAAGATGCATTTTTACCCTTCGAGGATACGTTACATAGTCTGATTGATGTCATGTTTATTGTTCTTATAGTTTGAACATTTGAATGTAATAACTTTTAATAATATATGACAAAACTAACCAGATGGAGGTGGATGTGAGTGTGTTAATATGCTGTGGAAGTCAAAGGCTACTTTGAAAGCTTTGATTTTAATTTTTTTTTTTGTTTTTATTCAAAAGCAAAAAAAAATTATCACTAACTTCTTAAAGCTTTATTGCACAGATAAATAAACACACAAATAAAACACTGCATGTAAAGAACAGCACAGAGGAATCAGCTGCCATTTTACTATTTTAAACTTTAGGATTTCTGAAA